TATGGTACCTGATATTTTCAAAGTCTAATAAAATAAAAACTAGACAGTAAAAGTATTTTATATTTAAGAAGCGCAACCAATATACTTTTAAGAAAATTTATGCAAACTTTGAAAACAGCCCTTGATTTGAGTAAAATTTTGGGATATTTTGAATAAGGTACTCCAACTTGAAAAATGATCAAACAACTACTTAAAATTGGTGGGGTAGGGTAACATTTATATACATATTTCAAACATTTTGAGTAGAAACAATAATTTTGCTGGGTCATTTGTTAGCTGAATGCTATAATTTGTTTCTTAAAAATGTTTTATAGGAAAACATTTTTTCATAATGACTATAAAATAGAATATTTAGAGTTTCTCATTTCTGAAAAAGAGCCCTTCTAATAGCCAATTTTTACTTAAGAAAAATCTCCATAACTCGTAAACCATACGGTAAACTTTGTTTAAATTTTGCATTCTTGTGTCTTTTAAGGTTTATAACTGACCTATGTTGTCAATTTTATAGTTCCTTATAGTGCCCATTAGGGGGCTCATACCTTAAAAGTAAAGAAGAAGTAAATAAGAACTACAAACAAAACATTTTATTTCGTACAAATTATTTTCGTCTCAGTTCATTTTTGGTACCGTCAAGTAATTCTTTTATTTTAATTATTGTGAATGTTGTTTTATCTCAAAGAAAAACATTGAAGTTTAATCAAATCAAATTTCAATAGAAAGTTTGAAATGACAACGTTTTGTTGATACGAAATACCTGAATCAACAGATTTGCAACACCTTTGGAAATAACGAAAGAAACCTTAAAATTCGAAAAAAGCATCGAAAGTAGGATTTCTAATCTAAAAATACCCTGACAAACATTTATCATAAACAAACCATTCAATCGTCAGCAGTTATGTAAGTATTTTAGTAACATGTAAGATACATGAAAATTATTAACTTTGTATCCATTTCACATAAATAACTGACAATACCGGATAAGTTCGTTTACTTGTGTGCTTTTCGCTATTTTCATGCGCAGGCGTACGGGGTTCGTGGACGTAATTGTAAGTGGTGGTTTCGTTTATGGTTGACAAAAGTTTAACGCAAAAAATCTGTGAGAAGATGCATGGTAATATAGAACATATGTGTAGGAGAAGGCGTGGTTAAACAGAACTTAAGTATCTGATATTTAACTTGATAGTTGAAAGACCCTGCGTATACCAAGTGGGAAAAATCCTTTATGTTTTTTCACTAATTTTATAATGGCCAATCAGATTCCAAATTTCAGATTGTAATTTCATAATGACCTATGAAATTTTTACATAAATTCAGTTCTTCCCTGTTAATTTTACGCCGGGAAGTCCAACCGAAATCAGAGGGCCTCCGGCAATTATAGCTACTGTTATAATCTGATTTTTTATCCCACTTGAAAGATAACAGGGTAACTTAGAACCAAAACGTGTATATTTATGTGCCGTTGTGAGTTCCAATCCCGCCAGAGACATTAGATTTTTTTTCATGTGAGAAAGCTATCCAGCTGTCTTACGGAGGGTCGGTGTTTCCGCACATAAAAATTATGAAATATTAATTTTAAAGATAAAATCATGAAATTGATGTTATACATTTAATACACGGATTCAGATATTTTGTAATATTTTGGTACATATCTACATTTAGAATTTTATGAATTGAACAATACATCATGTCTTAGTAGTTGGATATTTGTCAAAGCAATATAAGGATTATTTTATATCATATAGGAAAGCAAGAAATTAGCCCATTGCAGAGGAACAGAACGTGTCTATATGAAAAATGAACTACATATATATGAACACTGCAGTGTGTTTTACTAGTACCTATATTTCAAATTTTATTTAATATATAAAGTGCTGTCCTAGAAAGAAGTTTTGATAAACCAAATGTTCACCTTGATTTCAGTTTATTGTTATGGTCATACCAATAAGTGCCATGGTATTGACATGTGCTGATATACGACAACGTAATGATCTTTATGCACCAAACTCCAAACGTGCTTTCTTTAAGGCGTTATATATGATTTGTAGTAAATTGCTACAAAGAGGTAAAAGATCATTTAGCCCTAAAATGCAACTATTGCATTCTTTGATTTTCAACAATTGTGTAGTTTGGTGTTGGAAAACGAACTCAATGGCCATATTTCTATGCCATCCTTTGTTGTTGTTAAGCTTGTTGTAAAGTTATATTGTGAGTATGATTTGGTTTTACACTTTTTACATTTTGCTACTTTTATGACAATTTATTTCACATTAAAGGCTGAATTTTCACGTATTAAGCATTTGAATAAATAATCTTTTGATCTATTATGAAAAAACATTATGAAACACAGGTTTGTCTTTTCATAGTAGGGAACTAAACAAACAAGCAAACAAAAATATATAAATAAATAAATAAATACATAAATAAATAAATAAATAAATAATGATTAATAATAATAATTAACAAGATATGTTTGTAAAACATGTATGCCCCCTATCAGCAGCCAATTAGTCATGTGATAAGGTTATTATGCATGACTTCTGACCCAGTGATCAAACAATTAATAAGGGTTATAAAGTATCTACTGGTCATGACTTTGACCCCTTGACCCAAAACTCAATAGGGGTCATCTGCTGGTCACGACCAATCATCATACAAAGTTTGAAGTTCCTAGGCCTAGGCGTTTTTAGTAAATTGATCAGAAACCGTTTTTACCTACAAGGTCAATGTGACCTTGACCTTTGATCCCTTGACCCCAAAATCAATAGGGGTCATCTGCTGGTCATGACCAATCACCATGCCTAGTTTGAAGTTCCTAGGCCTAAAGGTTCTCTTATCATTGATCGGAAACCGTTTTAACATACAAGGTCAATGTGACCTTGACCTTTGACCCCAAAATCAATAGGGGTCATCTGCTGGTCATGACCAATCACCATGCCAAGTTTGAAGTTCCTAGACCGAAGCGTTCTTTAGTTATTGATCAGAAACTGTTTTTACTTACAAGGTCATTGTGACCTTGACCTTTGGGCTTAATCCCAAAATCAATAGGAGTAATCTGCTGGTCATGACAAATCACCATACCAAGTTTGAAGTTCCTAGGCCTAAGTGTTCTTGAGTTATTGATCAGAAACCGTTTTTACTTACAAGGTCAATGTGACCTTGACCTTTGACCCCTTCACCTAAAACTCCATAGGGGTCATCTGCTGGTCATGACCAATCATCACACAAAGGTTGAAGTTCCTAGGCCTAAGCGTTTTTAGTAAATTGATCGGAAACCGTTTTTACCTACAAGGTCAATGTGACCTTGACCTTTGACCCCTTGACCCCAAAATCAATAGGTCATCTGCTGGTCATGACCAATCACCATACCAAGTTTGAAGTTCCTAGGCATAAGGGTTCTTAAGTTATTGATCGGAAAGCATTTTTACCTACAAGGTCAATGTGACCTTGCCCTTTAACCCCTTAACCCCAAAATCAATAGGGGTCATCTGCTGGTCATGACCAATCACCATACCAAGTTTGAAGTTCCTAGGCCTAAGGGTTCTTTAGTTATTGATCGGAAACCGCTTTTACCTAAGAGGTCAATGTGACCTTGACCTTTGACCCCAAAATCAATAGGGGTCATCTACTGATCATGACCAATCACCATCTCAAGTTTGAAGTCCCTAGGCCTAAGGGTTCTTTCATTATTGATCGGAAACCGTTTTTACCTACAAGGTCAATGTGACCTTGACCTTTGACCCCTTAACCCCAAAATCAATAGGGGTCATCTGATTGGTCATAACCAATCACCATACCAAGTTTGAAGTTCCTAGGCCTTAAGGTTCTTTAGTTATTGATTGGAAACCGTTTTTACCTACAAGGTCAATGTGACCTTGACCTTTGACCCCTTGACCCCAAAATCAATAGGGGTCATCTACTGATCATGACCAATCACCATACCAAGTTTGAAGTTCCTAGGCCTTAAGGTTCTTTAGTTATTGATCGGAAACCGTTTTTGCTTAAAAGGTCAATGTGACCTTGACCTTTGACCCCTTGACCCCAAAATCAATAGGGGCCATCTACTGGTCATGACCAATCACCATACCAAGTTTGAAGTTCCTACGCCTTAAGGTTCTTTAGTTATTGATCGGAAACCGTTTTTGCTTTCAAGGTCAATGTGACCTTGAACTTTGACCCCTTGACCCCAAAATCAATAGGGGTCATCTACTGGTCATGACCAATCACCATACCAAGTTGTGAAGTTCCTAGGCCTTAAGGTTCTTTAGTTATTGATCGGAAACCGTTTTTGCTTTCAAGGTCAATGTGACCTTGACCTTTGACCCCTTGACCCCAAAATCAATAGGGGTCATCTACTGATCATGACCAATCACCATCCCAAGTTTGAAGTTCCTAGGCCTTAAGGTTCTTTAGTTATTGATCGGAAACCGTTTTTGCTTACAAGGTCAATGTGACCTTGACCTTTGACCCCTTGACCCCAAAATCAATAGGGGTCATCTACTGATCATGACCAATCACCATACCAAGTTTGAAGTTCCTAGGCCTTAAGGTTCTTTAGTTATTGATCGGAAACCGTTTTTGCTTTCAAGGTCAATGTGACCTTGACCTTTAATCCCTTGACCCCAAAATCAATAGGGGTCATCTACTGGTCATGACCAATCACCATACCAAGTTTGAAGTTCCTAGGCCTAAGGGTTCTTTAGTTATCACTCGGAAACCATTTGGTCTACGGACCGACGGACCGACAGACCGACGGACCGACGGACCGACAAGTGCAAAGCAATATACCCCCTTTTCTTCGAAATGGGGGCATAATAATAATAATAAAAATACAAGAAACAATAAAATAAATAAAAAGAAAACCAAAAAAACAACAAATACAACAACAACAAAAATTATTTTAAAAAACAGACAACCTTCTCCAAAAAAAGCAATAAATAATCCAAAAACATACACACAAAAATACAAAACAGAAAAATGTATCTTAAAACTAAAATACTCACTATAGCAGTCTCTTTAATAAAGTATGAAAAAAATACAAAAACAAACAAACAACGACAACAAAAGAAAACAACAAAAACAAAAATAAAGAACAAAACAAAATTTATAGTTGGGGCTAAATGTGCATTTAAGCAAAAATACTCACAACAACAGTCCCCCCGATTAATAATGTAAATTGCTGTGATATTGTTGGTTTTTCCGAGGTCAACAATCGCTTCAGGATAGGTATCTAAATTTGTGTGAGCACATGGGTGTGTATCGTCACGATTTCCATCCGTCTAAAAATAGATATATCTTTAAAATACTGCACGTCGCTTTTCATTGGATAACCGTTAAGTTTATATAAACTTTGTAATTCTGCACGTTTGTAACGTCGCTTTTCATTGATATATAAACTTTATACGCTGCTGTGAAAGTATGACGTTTGTTTCATGTTTTTCTTTAAAAAAAGAAGTTGGTTGTGTTATAATTATGGCCGTATATGGACGGTTGTTTGCAATATAATCCTAGCCTAGCGGCTCGGGTTATTAATACAAACAGTCTGTTAAACAGGCCATATAAATCTAGCCTGTCAAAATTACAATTACTAATACAATGTCCAATAGTGAAAATATTATCTTCTTTAAGAATACACAAACAAAAAGTGTCTTTTTTCTGTTATATATATTCATTCTGAATAACAAAATCATATCTGGTACAAATAATTCGATAGGTCATATTATGGTTTAATGCATAGGGTTCTCTTATATTAACTTAGTTGCCAAGTCATTATTTACTTACCATTAAAGCAGATGGAACGCCTGATATAGAGGAGCTCATAGACACCGGTTTATGCAGAGCAACATTTGTACTTGAACTTGGCAAACTTCCACTGCTGCATGTCTCTAACACTTCTGAAAATTGTTTTTAATATTAACAATAATTGAAAACATTTGATTTGCCATATATTATTTTCCAAGATTCAATCCACGAAAAATACATACGACTGTTTCGTGCCTGTCAGGTTTTGTGAACAATCTGCTTAGCAAACAATTATTTGTGAGGCGGTGCACAATTATTTTAAGAGTTATGTAAATTTATATTTACAAACTACGACGACCAAGACGACAGACAGGACAGGACAGGACCCCAACCCAACTCAGTAATTTAACCCCAAACAATTTCTTTAAACTGTTCATTTATACATGTAATGACAAAGATTCGAAAACGTTTCTTTATCGCATGGTGCGGCGATTTGTCTTTGATGTCCCTCAGCTGTTATACGCCAGTAACATGCTTAATTGGTAATAACGCACAGTGCGATATCTCAGATAAAGCATACTTCTTTAGAAAAAGTGTGCGTTATTTCAAATAAAGCACAGTTATGTTATTACACTTGGTTAATGTATAAGCGTGACCGTAGACAAGGGTCACTGGACGGTACTAAACTATAGGCTGAAAAAAACAACGAATATATTCAGGTTGGGGAAAAATAATGGGGTACGTGGGACATTGTTGTCAGTTTAGAAAATGTTTTGTCTGGGGCTTGAATGTACGGTACTTGTTTATGAACCTTTTAATCATTTTTCCTGAATGTAATTTGGTGCAAGGAGAAACTGCCTGTGTAAACATTTTCATGAGATATTTTCAATGTCAAGTCCCCGAAAGAAATAACAAAAATCATCTTCATTCGCTTCCTTTATAATTCGGATTTCCCGAGAAAGCTATTTCGAACCATGCAATTAAACCGGTTTATACAGATAGGCATTAGAAGAAGTTTCAAAGCACCGTTATCCGTGGAAGGTAAACAATATTGTTGATTTTTGTGAGAAAAAAAAATGTTTGAAGTAATTTTTAGCAAATCAACTTAAAATACAATAACAATTATAATGGCAAAGGTTGTTTTGCCAGTTTACCTGTCGGCTATATGGAAAATACCATGTTTGTTTTTCCAAGGGTTAAAATTAGAAATCACATCGCTTTCATAATAATGAAAGCTCTGATTGATTGTTTGAAAGACACGAGAGGTGACATGTCAGATCCTAAAGCGTAGCGTTATTTAGGAGGTGACTTTTGCCTTTAAAAATGCTGATCAAACGACGGTTAGCGTAATACTGGTGCGTCCCAATTATTTACAGAAATGTTTTTGTCTGTGGTCACACCCACTTTACTCTGATTGGCTCTTACGTTATGGGCTTTACAATAAGAAAAAAAATCGGTCATTTCCATGTAGAATTTTTCTACAATAAAAAGTAACCGAGGTTCCATGCGGGGAATTAAATCTATTAAGAGAAACAAAATATATATTTAAATTTTATGAATCATCAAAAAATTTATTTTCTAATATTTATGTGTATCCTGCATAAAACAGTTAAAGTATATCGAACTCGATTCTTATGTGAAAATATCATGGCCTGGGGCGGCAATTCGTGTTTTCCCTACAGAAAATGTCATCGGCCTTACGGCCTTGATCATTTTCTGTAGAGAAAACCCTCGATGTGGCCCAGGGCATGATATTTCCACATTCAAGTCTCGTCGCTATACTTTATCTATAACATATCATACCAATATATTCCTCGGCAGTAGATCTGACGTAATATCTTCCGTAAGTTACGTCATATGGTGACGTCATGAAGACGCTAAACAATGTGCAGTTTCTGTCAGAGGCTTGAAATATGAAAGACGCACAATTATTCTGTAAAAAGATAGATCAATACATTTATGTGTTGGTTTATACAGTATTTATTTCATATTGTTCAAACATACACAATTATGTACAACAACATGATATAATGCAGGATTGATAAGAGAGTCAAATAGATTAATATAGAAAACCCTAAAGAAAGTTAATTAAAAATTAAAAATTGAAAATGTTGCAGGCTCGGTTTGATTGAGCGTGTTCATGGACGGTACTTGAAAGTGCAAGTTACCGTCCACGCCCCCTAGCACCGGCTTCAGCAGAATTCAACATTAAAACATAAAAAAAAAATTTTTTGAATTTAGAAACATCCGTAGATGTGTTCATACGGTGGTTATCATGGAACCTTCAATGTGACACTTCCGTGCCATTCCATGAAAAGCGTCGTATGGTCCCCAAGTAATAAAAAGCGTGTGCCCTAAACGAGAAAACAATTGGCGGAACTAATTAAAATGGATTTTTGAAAGGGGATCAGAGGTTATGAAGACTGCATATCATAGATAAGACGTCAAAAGACAAATCTAAAAAGCAGGCAACATATCCTAAGGGGGATTCAACATTATTCAAGTAGAAATATTGGAACCACCCAACTAGAAAATGCCGAAAAGTTGAAACTAAAAATACCACAAGCACAACAATAATGTCGTGCTGAACGATCTTCAAGGATCGAAAATATAACATCATTGATTAAATGTACGGAGAGACTTTTTACAGCCGCCACACGGCACAAATACAAAGTCTAATGTATTTTTCCCTTGAATCATAAATTTAAAGCATAATGTACTGTAACAACACGTATTAGTAATCTAGAGCTCTAGTTACTAACATGAAATAATTACACGTATAAAAATTGAAATGAGTAATAATAGTACAAAATAACAACTAATTTGCACTAATATTGAATTTTTATTTATCATTAGAAGTAGATACGGAAGAAAACATTTTGTTTTGCGATTTTAAATTTATAAACAAGTATTTTAAACTAATTGATGTTATTATTAGATCTATGTTGATTTTATAATTGCACATGGTATTAGGAAGGAGTAGGATAGTTGTTAAGAAAGAACGAAATGTGGCCATAGTAATTGAAAGGGATGATAGGTCATTAGTGCACAGCAAAGTGTTTGTAAAAGTTTTATATAGAAAGGGAACAAGATTTACTGATGTTTCAAGTATGTTAAGTTTAGTGGTTGTCAGGTGAGAACTAAATCGTTCTAAATAAGAGGCAAAGTATTAATTAAAACCAGGTTTGACTTCAACCTTTCAGCAAGTTTATATATATGATGAAACGGGCACAAGTTGTATATGACTTCACTTTTTGTAACTTAGACTATTCATAAAATAAAACAATTATGGACTAGTGAGCCATTGATTATGAAGCGACATTTCTACCTCGCGTCAACATTTCAACTACATGTGATTACAGATATATATCAAAGCACAGAAGGCGCTGAATTTGTTTGGGTCTCAGAATGTCAGAAAGGTGAAGGTTGTGAGATTATAAACCAATTTGTTTTTGTATAGTGCCATCAATGCTTTCCAGTGTTTTAAATGTAGTAAATTGGCTATAAGACTAATTGCAACACTGATGTTTATTTGACTTAAAAAAAATTTTAAATGAGTTGCCTCAACTGGGATTTGAACTCGAGACCTCTCGATTTATAAGCGAGCGTGCAAACCCCTCGGCCACGGTGAAATTATAAGTTAACGACCTGAAGAAAACCATATTATTCTAAATTAGGGTTTTATTATTTCGACGCTAAACACAGATATAAATACTCATGGAGCTTATTGTAAGTATGTATATCTATAAAGAATGAAACAATATTAGAAATCTTCGACCATTCGGGAACTACTTTGCTTGAAAATTGATGCGCCTGTCATTTGACAATCTTTACGCATTGATCTCCCCTGAATTTTTCGGCGTTAGTGTACATATAAAGGGAAGTAACCGCTTTAAAAAAGTGGACTACTTAAGGCATTTGCAATTAACAGCATTAGGCTCTGAAATTTCGCTACCATTATTTGTTTGGTCTGACGACCCAAACAAATAAAAACGGATAAATGATGTTCAATAATAATTGTTCATACTTTTTAATTTTCATACACATAGCTTCTATTCATAGAGGAGGCTTTCTTCGAATATTTTCAGAGTGAGGTTTTAGGAAAACACAACATATTCAACTCACCTTAGTCTCGCAAATACTCCCGCAATCAATCCTAGATCTTGTAATTGCGGAATAAAGCTCATACGTTTTTAAATTTGGGTTATACCCTGTCTCGTACTCAACAAATTTAACACTGTTGACCATCGGCATATAAAACAAAGCTGTTAATATTATGAACATAATACTTAATGTCATATGATAACATATAGGTATTTTTAATGTTGTTGGTAACATTTTTGATATATAAAATTATATAAATCTAAAATATAGTTAATCTAAATAGATCCAAGTTTTGATATTTTTTTTTTTAAAAGCCGACAACAACAGTAGAATAACATTGATAAATATTAAAGGTTTTTTGTTTTAAATATATATATGCAAAAATCCAACGAATTGATGACAACAACGAGTTTGTTTTTCCGAAATAAATAATTCCCGGACAATCATTTATCAATATTCGTTTTATTGTACAAGTACTTTTTTCATAAACATGGATAAGACACTATGAAGAAATGAAATAATCCGATTTCATTAGTTCTTTTTGATTTAAATACATCTAATTGTTTTAACAAAAGACTTTTGGCTGTCTTTTTTTATTCTTATTTTTAATCACTGTTTTCTAGATCCTTATTCATTTCGTGACTTATCATTGATGTACATCTACAACAACTACATATAGTGGAAATATCCAATAAATGTTGTACAACAAAATTTCAAGTTTCATTGTTAAATCTAATTGCAGCAGACGCTTATCGGAAGTTGAACAAATATTGATGCTCTTATCTATAAACATATCACTGATGCGGTGAAATGGTCATTGTTTTCTTATATATGTCGTCAGAAACTTCCTGTATGGCGAAAGCAAAATAAAATGTTTTCCGAAAATATTGTTTTATGCGTTTTTCCGCACTCAATCCATTAATTCAGAAATTTATCGAATGACCGCTCTTGCCAAGACATACGAGGTGTGTTTAATTATGAATTCATCGAGAACGTTATATTGTGAAAAATTGCAAAAACACTAGAAAATGAAAATTATTGGGTGGATGTACATGTTAGCTTTACATTGATACCACTTTCATTAAAAGTCGTTCACTTTAGCAGTGTGTATAGCTCACTCGTGTACTAGGCCCAAGTTCAATAAGAAAAGATCTGGATCAAGTAATCCTAATTTGATTTTCTTTGTTTTATGTTACTAAAATTAATAGTGTTTTGCTAGAATTAAATGGTAAATAATCAAAATGTAAAAAAAATGGTGATTTGCAAAACAACCAAACTATTTTGCGATATAATCGACAAATAACAAAACAAATGCAAAATTATTCGGATCAAACAAAGGATCAATTTTAGGATCAGGATCAATGTTTGGATCAACTGTCCGTATCTTGCAAAATTAACAAAAAAATATTCATAAATTTCAGAAACTTCCTATTGCAAGTCCAGTTTTATCAAATCAATATTCGATATTTAATCTTTTTCGATAAACAATGAAGAATATTAGAGTTTTCAAATTTGAACCTGATCTAAATCCCGATCCTTAATTCCTTGTGAATACGGGGCAGTATTGCAAAAATGATTTAGTAGAAGATTCAAGTATGCCTTATATTAAGAATCGTTGTCTCCTTGGCATAGGGTATAAAGATATTTTGATGAAATATGTACTGTATATGCACAAAAATAAATTGTCTATTTCATCAGTTATTCATTGGTTTAATGCATTCAAATGTAGGCTAATTTCGACTGGGGATGCAACCCATGCCCGTTGGCCTAAAACAGCAACATCTGTCAAGATGGTTGAAAGAAATAGTTTTTACCGATGTTAGATACACCAACAGGCAAATAAGTAGTATTGTTGGCATCTCATTAGGAACACTTCATACCATTCAAAAACGTGATTTGAAAATGAAAAAGATTTGTGCTAGATGGATTACCCATTTGCAGACAGATTAGCACAGGAAAAGGCTCGAATGCAGTGCAATAAGTTCGTGCTTAAAAAGTATCCAAATAACATTGAAAGGTATTTACGAATGCCGTCACTGTTGCCAAAACTAAAACATTAAGATTTTTTTTTGGCTACAAAGCTGTCAAAAGACCATGCATTGCAAAAAGGACCGTCAGTATAAGAAGGTAATGTATGCCATTTTCTTTTCAACTCCGTGTCCCGATATTCAGATTGCTGTAAATTTGTTAATAAGAAATTTTAAAAGACAAAAGTTCTTATAACAGATTTAATTAAGTTTTATTTGTACAGATTAGATAAAGTTCGTATTCATACAGATTTTATAAAATACGTAGTAAAACAGATTTTATGAAGTGCGTATTTTATTTAGATTTTATAAAATGCTTATTAATTCTGATTTTATAAGTACGTATTAATTCAGATTTTATAAAGAGCGTATTATTCTGATATGGCAAAGTGCGTATTGAAAAAAATCATAAAGTGCGTATTAATTCTTATTTTATAAAGTGCGTATTAATTCAGATTTTAAAAAGTGCGTATTATTTCATTTTTTATTAAGAGTATATTAATTCAGATATTATAAAGTGTGTTATAATAAAGTGCGTATTAATTCAGATTTTTTCGAATGATGTGTATTTATTTATATTTTATAATGTGTATATAGAAACAGATTTTATAAAGTTCGTATTAATTCAGATTTTATATAGTGTGTAATATTTAATAATGTTCTCTGTCTCTGGATTTTCAATATATATATATATATATATATATATATATAATATATATATATATATATATATATATAATATATATATATATATATAAAGGGAGATAATTAAATTCAATACAGTTATACTTTCCCCTGCGTGGATCACTTAAGATACAAGTGTGCAGATAAATTGATAGAAATGAGAGAATATATATACACACATATATGCCAGTCCAATACGGCACAGCGCCTAGCAGAACA